ATCATTTGTTTTGCCAATGGTTGATGATTTTGGGAATGCTCAGTTACATTCTTCAGCTGAGTCAATATCAGTGAAGAAAAGCACAACCACTAATCTTTCAGAAAGGTACTACATTTCATGCTTGTACGAGGGTAAATTTTTATTTCCAACTCTAATTTCAGTTGATACCTTTTAGTTCTTGCTTGTTCTTAATGAATATAATGTGTAATCTGATGCTTTCTCAAATCAAAAGGAATATAATAAACCATGATTCTGTTGAATTTGCTTTAGATTGTTTCTTCAAATCTGTAGCTGATAAATTGATGAGAATTAAAGCTTTTGACATATTTGAACGGTCATAAGAATGTCATTCTTATGGATACTCACGTCCTATCATTTTAATTTGAATTTTTCTTTCATTCCGAGCCTTTTCTGTGCAATACTATGTTTGAATTAAAATTTACATAACAGATCTGTCACTTTTGATAGATATCGTCTCTATAACCTGTAGTAACAAACTATTTGCCCGAGATGAAGAAAAATAGAATTGGGACTTGGCCTTAATTTTTAAACACGATTCGAGCCTATCCTGTCTTATGTGTGTATAACTTGAAAATGTTTTACAATATTTTAAAGTTTAATTGTCCTCACAGTTTAACAATTGCTACACTCATTGATCGCGATTGTTGCTATTTTTTTTCCAAAATCGTCCTTGAAATGAGATGCTTATCAAAGTTAAGGTGGAATACCATAGCATGGTATTACACATGATGAAGAGTTAAATATGACAAGGGTACAATTACTATAATATGATAATATCATCTTGATTCTAAGGCCATTATTGAGAAAAAATGATGTTTTGAATAGTATTTTTTTAGAAAATGTGTGGATAAAAATTAGGGAAAAGTTTTGGATTTATGTGCAAAATATTTTATTGTGTGAATGTGTAATTGAAAATGAGTAATAGGAATTAAAGAATTTTGTTCTAAGGGGAGACAAACGGGGGCTAAATCACAACTAAAATTATTGGAGATCCTAGAAGGGAAATTATGGCTAGCAATGAAGAGGCCTTAAAGCCTGAGTATGAAAAAACGGATATACAGGATGGTACTATAATTACCGTGGTTGCTGGCACAGTTCCATTAATGTGGATATCAATTGTTGAGTAATTCAGAGGATAGCAACTATTGAATTGAGAAATTGCTTCATTCCTTTTCCCTTGTTGGTTAGAGGATATTGACTGTTGAATAATGCGAGAATGGTTTTTTGGATCTCCATTAGAGATGATTACCACATGATGTGCCATTAAATGATAAGACCAATAAAATGTCTCATATCCCCACATTTAATTGCCTTATCATTTCATAGCACGTCACCTGCTGCATAGATGGATCGGTGATCGTATCTAGTGGGGATGAATAGTATTATTCAAAATGTGCTACAATAATTGGATATACCACTGTCTTTAAACATTTTTCAAGTGCTTTGGAGGCTTTTAAAGGATATTGATTGTGATTTTGTGAAAGCTAAATCTACGTTGAAATTTTTTCATCAAACTCAAGATTTTATATGTTTGGAATGCAATACGACTTTTGCATAGGTTATGAAGATGAACATCATAGGACTTTGATCCTGTAAACAGGAAGTATGTGGAGAACTAGTGCTGAAATCTTGCTTGAAGTAGAATGTCATTTATTTGTTGACAATTGCTCTATGGTGAAGGATTATATATCAGAGACAATTGAACCATAAGAGGTTGATTCCAAAAGCATCTAGTTGAACTCCATAAAAATTTGTGACAGAGAGCTAATGACGATTAAACATAAAAGTCTCGCCCTTGCGAATAAGGACCTCTGCGTGTTGCCAATTTGTACTGCAAAGTAATGGAGAAATGTAGAGATGTATAAGAGGTTGCATGCTAGTATAATGGCATATACTTGGATGGAAATGACAACAGCTGACCTATTAGTAGCTAAGATGGGTAAATTTGTTTAGCAGCAATTGGTAGAAGTAGTTCATTGATGGACCAGATAAGCATTAAACAAGGTGGATTCTTGAAATCTACATAATTACGAAGAGATGAACGAGAATACACACTCTATATGGCCCTTATTTGTTGCAATATAATTAAGTGACGTGGATTTATGAAGAAAATGGGAACATCAAGGAAATTAATTCTGCCTTGTGCTGTGGTAAGTCATTGTGATTTGATGTTGAAGTGTCTTTATATCCTTTTAGTTATTGGTATTGAAGATTAATGAACCTTGTGATCCCTTAAGATTCCAGCCAACCAACGTTTAATTGTGTTACACACATAGGTCTTCAGGAGTGGATGTCGGCATCAAGGATAATAGTTATTCATTGATTAATTTTTATTTCTATTTCTGTTTGCGAAGTTCTATTGCTGGATTGGTTTTATGAAGAATTTTTCATCTCCGCCAATTTGGATATTTTTTCAAACTAATTCCATAATGTACACATGTTGAAATCATGTCTATTGTAGATTTTTGTATAGTTAAATAACGTATATTCACAATGGTAGGAAATTCGTTCTTTTGGTTTATGCCTTTGCTGCTCTGGTGAAAACATGGGTATAGCCCTTCTGTGTTATTGAACTGCATTTTGTTCTTGTTATTTTGTCACACTTTTGTTTGTATATTGGGCAATTATGTGGTGCGTGTGGATGTTAAACTCTAGTTGCAGAAAAGTTCAACCATCTTCCTTGTCAATCAAAGATCGTGAGGATAAGGCAAAGAAAAGTGAGTATGCTCAAGGTCTGCTGTTGTCAACAATTCTTGACGATAATCTATAGGTTCGCTGTGGCTGCTAGGCTTCTGTACGTTACGTTGGCTGCTGAAAACTTTCTGTAGCGACTCCGCCAGAGCATTAAAACACAAAGACTGAATCAAATAGTAGTAATAAATTTATGTAATATATTTTGCATGTAGAATTAGCGTAAGCAGAAAAAGTTTCTCCCATTTCTATTTCAGTTCATGTTTTGATAAAGAAAATACACTCTTATGCTATTTCACAATATATCCGTGTTGACTGTGTGTTCGTCATATGTTATGTGTGTCTACGCGGGTTATTTCTCTAAATTTCTCTAAAACGTTGCATAAACCTGTCTCCGACTCCA